CGCTGACGCTCCCGGTTGTCTTGGTGAGATCTGGCCTTTGTGCTCAGCCGTCGCTCGCGAGCAGCGCCCGCGGCTTCGCCCGCGCGACGCGGACGATAATCGGCGCGACGAACGCGAGTGTCAGCGCGATCAGGATCCCCCAGCCCATCAGGATCGGTCCGGGCGGGGGCTCGAAGGGCAGCTCGAAGCCGGCGAGGAATCGCTGCAGGCGGAGCCCGGAGATCGCGCCCTGCAAACCGATGCCGGTCCCGAGCAGGCACGCGGTGAGCGCGACGAGCGTGACCTCCGCGACGATGAGCCGCGCGAGGGTCGTCCCGTGGGCGCCGAGGGCGCGGACGACGCCGAACTCGAAGCGGCGCGCCTGGATGGACGCGACGACGATGTTCCCCACGCCCATGCACCCGACGAACATCGCGCCGATGGCGACGAAGTTCGCGATGCGGATCGTGCGCCGGCCGATCGCCGTGATGCCGTCGATGATCTCGCGGCCGGAGCCGACGGCGAGGAGGTTGTCGTCCAGCGCGTCACGGAGCTGGGCGGTGACCTCCTCATCGGAGAGTGTGTTACTGTCGCGCAGCTCGACCTGGATGAGGTGGATCGCGTCGGTGTCGAAGAGTCGCTTCAGGTCCGCCCGCGAGCCGAAGACGGAGTGGATCGCCTGGTCGGCGTACTCGGCGCCGATATCGAAGTACTTGCGCACCAGGTCGAGACCCGGGGAGGTGACCGCGCCGACGATCTCGAGCTTCTCGACGCCGTCGCGGGTCGGGATCTCGAAGAAATCGCCGACCTCGTACTCGTCCCGCTCGACGAGGAACTCCTTGGCGACGACCACCGCCCCGCCCTCGGCCACGCGCCGTGCCGCGTGCTCCGGGTCGCCCGCGACCCAGTGCAGGTTCGCCATGTCGAAGAACTTCTCCGGCTCGAAGGCGACGAACGTGGTCTTCACCGGACGGAACGACTGCACGCCGAAGGCCTCGTTCTCGATCTTCAGCAGCGTGATCGCGCACGTGCGCTCGACGAATTCGAGTTCTTCGATTCGACGCTGGTCCTCCTCCTCGAGACCGAGCCACCCGTGCACGAACGCCTCGGGGAACTGCATCGCGCCGAGCCAGCGGTCGAGGAACGCTTTGCCGTTCGTCCACGTCGAGGTCATGATCCCGAGCCCCACCATCAGCGCCCCGGCCGTGAAGCCGTTGCGGTAGGGCGTCGCGCTGACCGTCGAGACGAGGAGCGACCGCGGCACGCGCAGGACGAACGCGACGGCCGGGCCGGCCACGTGCGCGACGAGCACGACGAGCGGCACGCCGAGGAGGAAGTACCCGATGACCATCGCCGGGAGGCCGATCGTGGAGTAGAGCCAGAAGATCGTCACGCCGTCGTCCGGGAGGAAGACGGTGCAGACCTGCACGCCCAGGCACGCGATCGCGGCGGCGAGCGTCCCGAGCACCGGGGCGAGGCGCGGGACGACCGCGCGGCGCGAGAAGGATTGGAGCGGCGAAGTCCGCGCGGCGGTGACCGCGGGCCACACCGCGCCGAGCGTGCCCGCGCCGAGGGCGCCGGCGAAGCACATCGCGACGCCCCAGCTCGGCACGACCAGCTCCACGCCGTCGCCCGAGCCGAAGTACCACAGGAGGATCCACGCGAGCGCGACGCCGAGCGGGAGGCCGATCGCCGCGCCGCAGAGCCCGACGAACGCGCCGACGACGAGCTGCGCGACGGCCAGGGGCGTGCGCGCGCCGCCGATGGCGCGCATCACCGCCAGCTCCCGCTGGCGCTCGAGCACACCCGTGGTCAGGCCGGTCAGGATGATGAACGAGGACGCGACGAACGCGAGAACCGAGGCGATCAGGAAGAAGTACCGGTTCACCTCCATCGTGGTGTTGAGCCCGGAGGTCACGCGCTCGGTCGGCTCGACGAGGATGTTCGCGGGGATCGTCTCGGCCAGCGCGTCGGCGACCGCGAACGCGTCCGCGTCCTCCCGGATGAGCAGCTTCACCTCGCTCAGGGAGCCGGAGTAGCCGGTGGCGTCCTCGAGCTGCGCCCTCTCGACGGTCACCTCCGTCCGCGGCACCAGCTGGAGCGTCGTCTGCGCCTTGACGACGCCCACGACCTCGAGCGAGATCGGCTCGCCGAAGCGGACGACGTCGAGCGAATCGCCGACGGACGCGTCGAGCGCCTCCGCGGCGTACTGGCCCAGGACGATCTCGCCCGCGCGTTCGATCGTCCGCCCGCTCGAGAACTCGGGCGTGGCGATGCGGCGCTCGTCGTCCGGGTCGACGCCGCTCGCGATGGGCGTGAGCGTGGCGCTGTTGGCGGGATTCGAGAGGGGCAGGGGGGCCTTGAGCGTCCGGGCGACCCCCGTGACGGCCTCGTGCGCCGCGACGGTCTCGGCGATGGCGGCGTCGAAGCGCGTGTCCGTCAGCTCGCGGACCCGGATGTCCGCGAGGCCGAGCGAGGAATCGAGGCGGTCGCTCATCGACTGCGTGAGCGTGCCCAGCGCGCAGGCGACGGTGGCGACGAGCGTCACCGAGAGCGCCACGGCGGCGACGAGCAGCGCGGTTCGGCTAGCTCGCCCGGCTAAGGCGTTGATACTCAGTCGCCAGATCGCTCGCATCGAGTCCTTCCGTGTCGATGTGCCCGGTGATGCGCCCGTCGCTCAGTATGAAGACGCGCTTGCAGTGCACCGCGGCGACGGGCTCGTGGGTGACCATCACGATGCTCAGCTCCTGCTCGCGGGCGATCTCGTCGAGGAGCGTCCAGAGCTTCTCGCTCGAGCGCGAGTCGAGGTTGCCGGTCGGCTCGTCCGCGAGCAGGACCTGCGGGGAGAACATCAGCGCCCGCGCGATGGCGACGCGCTGCTGCTCGCCGCCGGACAGCGCGTCCGGGCGGTGCGACGCGCGGTCGATCACGCCGAGCGTTTCCATGAGGCTCGCCGAGCGCTCGCGCAGGAACCCCGGGTCCTCGCCCGCGAGGACGCCCGGGAGCTCGACGTTGTCGCGCGCGGTCATCGTGGAGATGAGGTTGAACTGCTGGAAGACGATGCCGATCTCGCGCCGGCGGAAGAGCGTCAGCTCGCGGTCGTTCAGCGCGTCGACGCGCTTGCCCGCGACGGTCATCTCGCCGGAGTCCGGGCGGTCGAGCGCCGCGAGCAGGTGGAGCAGGGTGGACTTGCCGCTGCCGGAGGCGCCCATGATCGCGAAGAAGCCCGTCTCGTCGATGCGCAGGTCCACGCCCCGGAGCGCGTGGACGGTCCGGCCCCCGGTGCTGTAGCTCTTGTGGACGTCGTTCGCGAGGATCATGAATCGACCGGCCTTCACTCCGTGGCGTTGGACGCCCGTCGTGAAGCGTCGCCGATTAGTTCGGAAACGGGCGGTGTCGGATTCAGGCGGAACGCCGCGAGACGGGCGCGTCAGCCGTTGTACTTCTCGTCGTAGGCGCCCGAGTCCATGAGGGCGTCGAGCCCGGAGGCGTCGGCGACTTTGAGCTTCACGAGCCAGCCGGCGCCGAGCGGGTCCTCGTTGACGAGCGAGGGGTCGTCGTTGAGCGCCTCGTTGATCTCGACGACCTCGCCCCCGACGGGGGTGTAGATGTCGCTCGTCGCCTTGACGGACTCGACCTCGCCGACGGAGTCGCCGGCGCCGAAATCGCTGCCCACGGGCTTCATCTCGACGTACGTGATATCGGTCAGTTCGCTCACCGCGAAGGGCGTGATCCCCAGGGTGACGGTGTCGCCCTCGAGTTTGAGCCATTCGTGGGATTCGGTGTATTTCCGGTCGTTGGGGCTGCTCATAGGCCGGCATTCTAGGGAGAGAGGGCCGGTGGTGCCGGAAAAGCCGCTTCCCGGACCCCGGATGTGGATACCGAGGGGGTCGATCGGCAAAAGATCCTTGCGTTCGGGCCGGGGGTGGTGGATACTGTGTTTGAGCCCGGGCTGCGCGGTCGATCCGCGACGGATCGATCCCCTCTGGCTCCCAAACGAGATCTTTCTCCCCTCCAGACGGTCTGGCCTCGCGGCCGGCCGTCTTTTTTTCATCGCGAATTTTCGCGCTTCACGGGGCTGAATCGACGGTTGACGCGCCGATGGCGGGATTTCCGATCTCCCCAGCTTCCCCCGGATTGCCCGCCCGGACGCGGGGACTGTAGATTGTCCCGCGACGATGCTGATCACGCTTTCCACACGCTCGTTCCAGAAGGCGCTCGGGGGACGCCACCCCGAGATGACCCTGTTCGAGTTGCCCCGCTACGCCAAGGACGAGCTGGGCCTCCAGGGCATCAATATCCACACGAAAGCGCTCAAGGGCTGGTCGATCGCTGAGATCGACCGCCTCCGCGACGAGGCGGACAAAGCCGGCTGCCCGTGCCTCCTGCTCATGGAGGACATCACCCACACGCTCGGGGGGCCCGACGAGGGGGGCAAGTGGACGGACTCCGACGAGCGGATGCAGCGCGTCCTCCGCGTTGCGAACCGGCTGGGGTGCTCGGGCGTGACGATGTCCATCGAGGATTCGCTCAAGAAGGACGAGTACGACGACGTCGTCGACCGGCTCAAGACGCTCGTGAACCGCGCGGAGCGGCTCGAGATCAACCTGCTCATCGCGCCGCACGCGGGCCTGACGGAGAAGCCGGACGACCTGACGGAGCTCATCCGCAAGGTCGGCGGGTTCCGCATCGGCTCGTTCCCGGACTTCGAGGTCGCCGCCGGCGCGCCGGACCCCGACGCCTACCTCCGCGGGCTGACGCCCTACGCGAGCGCGGTGTCGATCTCGTCGCACGATTTCGACGGCAAGGGCAAGCACAAGGCGTTCGACTTCATGGCGTGCCTCGAGGCGATCACCGCCGTCGGCTACGACGGGACCGTCTCGCTCGAGTACCGGGGCGAGAAGAACGCGACCGAGGCGATCATCGCGAGCCGCGAGACGATCGAGTCGCACCTGGAAACCAATTCGGCGTGAACGGAATCACCGGAGCGCGTACCGCGAGAGAGACGATGCTCGAACCGAAGGTCATGACAAAGCACGCGAAGAGGCTCGGGCGCACCGGCCGGGTGATCATCACCATCGACGGGCCCGCGGGGACCGGCAAGTCCACCGTGGCGCGCGAACTGGCCGAGGCGCTCGGGCTCGAGTTCCTCGACACCGGGGCGATGTACCGCGCCGCGGCCGCGATCGCGATCGACGAGAACCTGGACCTGCAAGACCACGAGACGGTGGCCGAGCGTGTCCGCGAGGCGGACCTGCGGTTCGACTGGGTCGCGAGCCCGCCGGACCTGCGCGCGTTCGGCGAATCGATCGCCTCGCGCCTGCGGGACGACGACGTGACGCGGGCGGTGAGCGAGGTGAGCGCCATCCGCGAGGTGCGGCGCGAGCTGGTCGAACGCCAGCGCCGCATCGGCGAGATGCACCCGCGCCTCGTCTCCGAGGGGCGGGACCAGGGCTCGGTCGTCTTCTTCGACGCGGACCTGAAGATCTACCTCGACGCCGACGCAGCGGTCCGCGCCAAGCGCCGCGCGGACCAGCTGGCCGAGGAGGGGCGGTCGGTCGACCTCGCCCGACTCGAGCGTGAGATCCTGGAGCGCGACGAGCGCGACTCGACGCGGGAAGTCGGCCCGCTCGTCTGCCCGTCGGACGCCGTGCGCGTCGACACCTCGGACATGGACCGCGCGCAGGTCGTCGAGCACCTGGCCGAGCTCGCGTGCGAGGCGCTCGCCGAGAGCCCCGCGTCCGGGTCATGACACGCGAGACGCCCGCCGGGACCGTCCGGCGCTATACGCTCATCGATAAATTCGTCTACTTCGCGGGCTACGCGACCAGCTGGCTTCTTTTCACGATCATCTGGCGAGCGGTCTACCGCGGGCGGAACAGCGTCCCGAAGTCCGGCGGCGTGCTGCTGGTCTCCAACCACATCTCGCACCTGGACCCGCCGCTCGTGGGCACGGCCGTGAACGGCCGGGTCGTGCACTTCATCGCGCGCGTCGGGCTCTACAAAAACCGGTTCTTCGGCTGGATGATCACCGCGATGCACACCATCCCCATCCGCGAGGACACCGGGGACATGGGCGCGATCAAGGAGGCGATCGCGCGGCTCGAAGCGGGGCACGTCGTGTGCATCTTCGCCGAGGGCACGCGCTCGCCCGACGGCACGCTCCGGCCCTTCAAACGCGGCGTCGCGCTCCTGCTCAAGCGGAGCCGCTGCCCGGTAGTCCCGGTCGCGGTGGAGGGGGCGTACGACGTGATGCCCCGCGGCGCGAGCCGCCCGAAGCTCGGCGGGCGTCTCGCGGTGAAGATCGGCGAGCCGATCCCGCACGACGAGCTGCTCGAGGGCGGCGCGGACGGGGCGCTCGACGCGCTGGCGCGCAAAGTCGAGGCGATGCGGCTCGAACTCCGCGAAGAGCTCCGCGCGAAGACGAAGGGCAAGTTCCCGCCGAAGGGGGCCGCGGACGAGATGGCGGGCTGGCTCGACGGGTAACAACCGCGAACGGCAGTGAGCGGGCTACTGGTCATCCAACTTCAAAGCAAAGGATCGACGCTGCGCGTCGGCCTGATGAAACCCCCTCACCCGGTTGTCGGCTTGCGCACGACAACCACCCTCTCCCGCGAGGGGAGAGGGTGCAGAAAGAACAACCGCGAGCGGGAGCGAGCCGGACCAATGTTCGCACGCCCATCTGCAAGGTCCGGGATACAGAACAGCAAACATCTGCCACCTCTCCCCTCGCGGGAGAGGTCGGTTTTCTTGCGCCAGCAGAAAACCGGGTGAGGGGCCAACACAATCCGCGGCGCAGCCGCGTTCCTCGTCTTCGTGCCGAAGCACATTGGCCCGCTCACTGCCGTTCGCGGTTGTTACCGCACTCTCAGACACCCACCGCTTCCGCGTCCCGATCGCTCAGGAGGCCGCCGTCGGCGCGTTCCTTGACCGTCCCGTCGCGCTTCCACGAACGCTCGCAGCGCGGCTCGTTGCGGAGGTCGTTCACGCGCACCGCGCTCCCGCCGAGCTCCACGCGGCTCACGCCGATGAGGTCGGCGAGGTCGACGGGGTCGAACGCCTTGAGCGCGCCGTCCGGATCGGGCAGGGTGACGCCGGCGTCGAGGGGGTTCTCGATCTCGCCTGCGGCTCGCTTCAATTCGAGAGCCGCGTGCGCCGACTCGCGGGCCTCGATCGCCTTCGGCCAGCTCGCGTCCACGGGGACATCGAACCTCTCGATGATCGTCTTGAGGTGCACGCAGGTGTCGTTCGAGTTGAGCAGCGCGCCGTACGCCTCGTCGGCGGTGTGGGGCGTGAAGACTGCGAGCACGCGGCACAGCGCATCGGTGAGGTCCCACATCGTCGACTGCGTGCGCCGGCGACGGGGCGAGTCCGGCTTGTCGCAGTAGAGCCGGTCCTTGACGGCGGCGAGGTAGACGGCGGAGAGCGTGTCGTTACAGAAGTTATAGATGAGCGTGCTCGCCTTGTGGAAGTGGTACGTCCGGAAGGCCTGGAGGACGCCGGCGATCATGCGGTTGTATTCGCCGAGCACCCACGCGTCGATGGAAGCGGGTGGGTACGAATCGAGCGCGACGCACATGCCCTCGCCGGACGAGCAGTCCTTGCCGGGGGGCGAGGGGGTGAAGTCGTCGAGGTTCGAGAGCATGAAGCGCATCGTGTTGCGGACCTTCCGGTACGCCTCGCCCGCCGTTTTGAAGAAGCCGATATCCACCTTGATGTCGTGCTCGTACGCCGTCGAGCCGACCCACCAGCGGCAGACGTCCGCGCCGTAGTCCTTCATCAGCTCGTCCACGTCCAGCGCGTTGCCGAGGGACTTGCTCATCTTGTGCCCGTCCTTGTCGACCATGAAGCCGTGGGTGAGCACGTTCTTGTAGGGCGGCCGCCCGGTGACGCCCAGCGCGGGGAGCAGCGAGAGCTGGAACCATCCGCGGTGCTGGTCCGACCCCTCGAGGTAGAGGTCGATCGGGTAATCCGGGCGCGACTCGTCGCCGGAGACATTCTTCGGCGATCGCTCGCGCATCACGGAGTTCCACGACGAGCCGGACTCGAACCAGACGTCGAAGATGTCCGTCGACTTGCTGAGCGAATCGAGGTCGAGGCCCTGCAGCGCGTCGGACCCGTTGTCGTCCGAGGCGTCGTAGCTCGCGAGCAGCTTGCTCGGCGCTTCGGTGAACCACGCGTCGGAGCCGCGCTCGCGGAAGGCGCGGGCGACGGCGCGGACGGTGCCCGTCGTGAGCACCGTCTCGCCCTCGGGCGTGTAGAACGCGGGGATCGGCAGACCCCAGGAGCGCTGCCGGCTGATGCACCAGTCCGGGCGCGACTCGAGCATCCCGCGCATGCGGTTGCGTCCCCACTCGGGGATGAACGTCACGTCCGACGCGGTCTTGCTCAGCGCCGCGTCGCGGAGCGTCTCGCCCGTGTCGCCGATCGACTTGTCCACCCCGATGAACCACTGCTCCGTCGCGCGAAAGATCACGGGCGTCTTGGACCGCCAGTCGTGCGGGTAGCTGTGCATGAACCGGTGGTCGTGGAAGAGGTGGCCCGAGTCGCGCAGGCGCTCGGTGATCTCCTCGTTCGCCTTCCAGATGTTTACGCCGCGGAGCCACTCGGGCGTCGTCTCGTCGTATGCGCCGTCGGCCTTGACCGGGCAGTAGATCGGCAGCTTCTCACGCAGGCCGGTGAAGTAGTCGTCGGCGCCGTGGCCCGGCGCGGTGTGCACCATGCCCGTGCCGTCCTCCATCGTGACGTAGTCCGCGAGGACGACGCGGTAGACATCCGCATCGCCCTCCCCCCCGGAGAGGTGCGACTTCGCTTCGTCCGGGAGCAGCGCGAAGTCCGGCGTGCCCTCGATGAACGGGTGCCTGTACCGCAGGCCCGCGAGCTTTTCGCCCGTCGTCGTCGCGACGATCTCCGGCTCGGCGATCCCCGCCGCCTTCATCACCTTCTCCACGAGCTCCTGCGCGAGGATCGTGAGGTTCCCGTCCGCGCGCACGAGGGCGTACGTGAAGTCCTTGTGCACCGCGATGCCCAGGTTCGCCGGGAGCGTCCAGGGCGTCGTCGTCCAGATCATGAAGCTCGGGCTTTGGCCCGGGCGGTCGTCCTCGGGCAGGCCGAAGGCGTCGTACACCGCGTCCGCGTCGGCGGCCTCGAAATCGACGTAGACGGAGATGTCCTCGCGGTCCTGGTATTCCAGTTCGGCGTCCGCGAGCGCCGTCTCGTTGGCGATGGACCAGTGCACCGCCTTGAGCTGGCGGTAGACGAGCCCCTGCTTGACCAGGTCCGCGAAGACCTCGAGCGTCGCGCCCTCGTACGCGGGGACCATCGTCAGGTACGGGTTGTCGTAGTCCGCGAGGGTGAGCAGACGCTTCATCTGGCGCGACTGGTGCTTGACGTACTTCGACGCGTAGCTCTTGCACTCCTTCCGGATCGCCATGCGGCGGGTGTCGTCGTCGAGCGACGCGAGCTTCTCGAGCTTGCCGTCGTCGGCGAGCTGGGTCATCACCTTGTGCTCGATGGGCAGCCCGTGGCAGTCCCACCCAGGCACGAAGGGGCACTGCTTGCCCATCGCGATCTGCGAGCGGACCACGAAGTCCTTGAGGCACTTGTTGAGCAGGTGACCCAGGTGGATGGAGCCGTTGGCGTAGGGCGGGCCGTCGTGGAAGACGAAGCGGCCCGTCCCGTGCTCGTCGCGGTGGGCCTGGAGCTCGGCGTAGAGGCCGCGCTTCTCCCAGCGCTTGAGGCTCGCGGGCTCGTTCTGGACGAGGTTCGCCTTCATCGGGAAGCTCGTCTTGGGGAGATTGAGGGACTTCTTGTAGGCCTTGGCCTTGTCGTCCTGGGCGGGGGGCTGGGTGGTCATGGGGGAGGCTCGGATGGTTGAACGCCCGCGACCGGACGGGGGAGGGCCCCGCGGGCGAACGCGTGGTGTCGGATCGGGTGATGATACTGGTGGGGGGGTGGGGGAGGGATCGGCTACAGGCGACAAGCCCCGTCGATCACGCCGCGAGGGCGGGGGATCAGCGGGGCGTGGTAATTCGCGCGGCCGAGATGCGAGGGTTCAAAAACAACATCGCGAGGCGATCTTCGCCTCGCGATGGGGGGTTGTCAATCAGAATGTGCCTTTTCAGGCCTTCTTCGCGGCCTCGGGGGCCTTGTGCTCGAAGAGCGACTGGCTGCGGAGGACGACGCCGCCCTGGGCAAGCATGTGGTACGCCTGGGCGTGCACCTCTCGCCGGTAGCGCTGGATATCGACGATGGAGGCGCACTTGCCGCCGTCGTCGTCGATCCACTCGTGGATCATGGCGTTCTGCTCGCGTCCGAACTCGAGGAGCTCGTTGTAGGTCGCGGTGTAGAGGGTCTCGGGGAGCTGCTCGGTCTGGACCGTGGAGAAGAACTTGACCTTGTCGGTGAATTCCTGCTCGTGGTCGCGCTCGCCGGCGCAGGGCACGGCGGCGATCATGCCGCGCTCAGGAATCCCCTGCTCCTGGGAGGTGATGAGCTCGGTGGCGCAGGCGCCCTCGTGCTCGAAACGCAGGAGGTGAGCGCCGGGCATGACCCAGGCCTCGAAGTTGTAGCCCATATGGTCGACGTTGCGGCGGCCGACGATGGGAAAGAGCTCCGGGTGGAGGGCGCGACGGTAGAGAATAAGGCGGTACGCCTGAAGATTGGTTGATTTCGCGGGTGCGCTCATTGTTTGTCCTAACGAATACCGGTTCGATTGGTCAGCTTGCCGTTTCCTCTCGCTGCCTCACGCAATCGAGCCGTCAGTGTATGCCTGAGACTTTCTGAGGCAAGTGAAATCTGCCTTTTCCCACCACAATCTGAGCCTGTGATGGGCAAAAGTTGCGCATCGAGGCTACCGGACCCCAACCTGTAGTAGGGGGTGCCAAACTGCAGCGCGGAGCCCGGATCTGCCGATATCGGACGATGCGATCCGTCCGGAAACATCATCATGCCGACGCTCTATAACCGCCTGAACATCCTGAAGCGTTCGAAACGTGAAGTTCGCGTGCAGGCTTTGCTACGGACGATCCCGTACGCGAGTTCGGACGAGACGGATGCGATGATTTCCGAACTCATCGAAATCGCCGCTTCGGCCCAAAAACCGTTGCTCCTCATGCCCGTGTTCCGGCTGTGGGAGCACGCCAGCCCGGCCGCGCGGTCCGCCGTGCTCGGCGCGGTCCGCGATTGCATGCCCGAGGTGATCGAGGCCCTCCGCGCCTCGGATGACCCGAAAGACGCCCGGGCGCTCGAGCACGTGCTCCTGCAGTCCTCGACCGGGGCGGCCGATACCCCGAGCATCGACACCAAAGACCCAACCCTGCGCGAGGCGATGGACGCGTCGCTCGCCGCCGCCGCGGCCAAGCTCCCCAGCGAGCAGACGGAGGAGCTGATCCGCCGCATTCTGGAGAACGCGGCGCACCCCGGGGCCAGGCTCCGGGCCTGGCTGTCGGACGACGACCAGCCCGGGCACATGACCCTGCGGACGGCGGCGCGGAAACGGCCCGCCTCGTGGCTCAACGAGCAGGCGGTGACGCTCCTGGGGATCCCGGCGCTGGCGGGTGTGGCGTCGAGCCATATAGCCCACGCGGGGGACGGTGACGCGCGGGCGAGCTGGCTCGCGCAGTGGCACCTACTCATGGCCCGCGGCCGCCGTCGCGCCCTGCTCCGCCAGGCGGACGATCGGACGCTGCTGGAGCTCGCGCTCACGCCGACCAACGACGAGCTCTCCCGCCGGGGCGGGGCGATCTGGCTGACCTCTCTCGTGCGCAACCCGGCGCGGTCGACGCCCGCGCTCTCGTCCTGCTTCACGGACCCGTCCGCGACGGTGCGCCATGTGGCGGCCCGCGGGCTCCGGCGCGTCCCGCAGAGCGCGGACGTGGACAGCGCCCTGCTCGATTTCGCGTTCGACCCGGACGCGCGCGTCGCCGAGACGGCCGTGAGCGGGTTCACCGAGGCGCGGAGCTACTCGCGGGACGAGCACCTGCGCGATTCGTACCGCGCCCTGGCCCGCTCGCCGCACGCGCGGGTGCGGCGCATCGCGACGGCGGCGCTGCGCCGCTCGGACGCGGAAGCCGAGCTGCTCACGGGCGACCGGCTGGGGTGCCCGATCGCGGCTCGCCGGTTCCTCGCGCGTGACCGCGCGGGGTTCGTGACGTGGCTCAAGAAAACCGGGACCGAGACGGATGCCGAGACGCGCCTGCGCGCCTTCGCGCTCGCGGACCGCCTGTGCCTCCTCGACGAGCTGGAGGGCGAGATCATCCGCGCGATCCGCTCGGACGACGAGTACCTCGTCTCGAAGGCGGCGCTGCTCATCGGCAAGCTCAAGGGCCCGGGGCCGGACGCGGCGCTTCGGTTCACCCTCTCGCACGGGTCGGACCGCGTCCGGGCCAACGCGGTCGAGGCGTTCACACGCCACACCGATCGCGAGGAGGAGATCGCGCCGTTCCTCGAAGACACCGCCGCCCGCGTCCGGGGCAACGCCGTGCGTCACTTCCTCAAGACCGGCGGGGGGCGTTCGGTCACGCCGGAGGACGCGCTGGCCGAGATGCTGAGCGACCCGCGCCCGGGGCACCGCCTCTCGGCGCTGTGGGCGGCGCAGAGCGGCGTCGCGCTGGGCCTGGCCGGGCGCGTGGACGACATCTCCAAGAACGACCCGGACGTCCAGGTCGTCTCCCGCGCCCAGCGGTGCAGCAAATACTTCGGGCGGATCATCCGGAGCGGGTGGTCCGAGGCCGAGACCCCCAAGGTCGAATCGCGCGTGCACGTCACGCCCGAGCGGAGGCGCGTCGGATGATCGGATCGCTCGTTCACATCGCATCGTCGACGCCGGCTCCGGCCGGCGAGCCCGCGTGGCTCCTCTGGGCCATCGGCGCCGGCGTGGTGACCGTGACGGCGGGCTTCGCGTACCTCGGCCGCCTCGCGATGCGCGACGGCCAGACGGCGAAGGCCCGGCCCGAGCTGTTCATGTGCGAGGTCGAGCTCAAGCCCGTGAAGAGCGACGCGGAGCTCATGGACGAGCTCCGCGCCTTCTCCTCGCTCGCGAAGAAGCTCCGCTTGAGCCGAACGCAGCGGATCATCCTCCGGCGCGTCGCGCAGGCGTCACGGACGCCCGCCCCGGCGATGCTCCTGAGCGAGCGGGCGTACGACAGCGCCGTGACCTTCGTGCTCAACGACCGCAAGGTCGCGCCGGACAGCGCCGAGAGCCGCGAGTTCGCGCGGCTCCGCACGCGCCTGTTCGCCGAGTGAGTACGATGCGCGCATGACGCGCGTCCGCTCCATCCTCATCATGGGCCTCCGCGGTGCCGGCAAGACCACCGCGGCCAAGGCCGTCGCGGACGAGATCGGCTGGGCGTTCGTCGACCTCGACGAGCGGGCCCGCGAAGGGTTCGGGGGGATCACGGTGACGGAGATATTCCGCGAACACGGCGAGCCCGCGTTCCGCGAGGCGGAGACGGCGTCGCTCGCGGACGTGCTGACCGAGGACCGCGTCGTCGTCGCGCTGGGCGGGGGAACACCGACGGCCCCCGGCGCGACGGACCGCATCCGCGCGGCGCAGGACGCTGGCGAAGCGCTGGTCATTTATCTCCGGGCGGAGCACGAGCGGATCGCCGAGCGGCTGGCGCACGCGGGCATCGGCGACCGCCCCAAGCTGGTCGAAGGCGACCTGCACGACGAGATGCGTCTGGTGTTCGAGGCGAGGGACCCGCTCTATCGTGAACTGGCGGACGTGGAGATCGACGCCATGCAGCCGACGGACGGCGTGCGTGCGAAGATCACGCGTTGGCTCGGTGAGCGGGGGCTCGTTGAGGGCTGATTACGCCGCGAGGTGATAGCGGCCACGGCCCAGCATGGCGGCGAGCTTCTGCTCGTCGTCGAGCGAGGCGAAGCAGCAGGCCATGCGCACAGGTCCCGGCAGTTCCAGGTCTTCCTCTTCCACCCAGAGGATGTTGCACGTGGCGTTGACGTGGTCGGTGCGCTGGCCGGGCAGGTCGATGCGCACGGTGACGGTGGAGCCGGGCTCCAGGGCGTCGTCGAGTTCGAAGCGCATCCCGCCCTGCGAGATGTCATACACGTGGCCCTCGCGGATCACCTTCCCGGCGTCGTCGACGACGGAGACGGTGGTGTACATGGAGGGTGGCGCGTAGCGTGTGTGAGTTCGGCGGTCGACCTCTGGGGACATGGGCGGGGTCCTCCCTAGGCCGGGCACGGGCCGACGCCCGATGCCTGGACGGTTGTCTCGTCGCGAGCGAGCCCAGTTGCCCGCACGCCCGTCGGCTGCCTCTCTCATCGGCGTTTTCCTGATCATGGTCCATCCATGCGTCGAAAACGCTCACACCCGATATTCGAGTGTGCCACGAGAAAACACACGAGAAAGAGGGGAATTCGGATTTAACAGTCAGTTGCTGCTCTTTGGCAGCGGCGTCCCGTGCAGCTCGAGGCGCAAATGTTGCACGTTCACGCACAACGTTTCCTCGATCTTGTGCAGCACATCCCCGCGAAGGGCCCGCAGGAGTTCGCGGCTCAGCGCATCAGGGATATCCACAACATCGCCCGATTCCAGCACCACGTGCAGGTGATCGCTCATGTCCGCGTCGTAGCGTGCCGCGGCACCGTTGCTCGTGATCCGCGAGCACAGGCCCGCCTCGCACAACGCCTCGAGCGTGTTGTAGATCGTGGCCGTGCTCGTCCCGGGGACGAGTTGGCGGAGCTCCTCGGCCGTCGGGTGGCTCTTCGTCGCGCGCAGCGCATCGAAGATCTGCTCACGCTGCTTTGTGCAGCGGAGGCCGTGGGCGGTCAGGATCTCGCGAGCGGTCTCCACAGGAGCGGTCTCTCAAGCGGGGATCGAACGGCGGGTGCGCCAGGGGAAGTATTGCACGGATGGCGCGCCCGGACCACTATCGGCCCGGGATCGCGGATTTTTTGAGATTCCGGGGGATGACCGGCTCAGGCGCCGTCCATATCGAGCTGGATCGTCTGGGCCTGGGCCGTGGTCTCGGGGTCGGGCGGGTCGAGCTCGCAGATCATCTTGTAGTGCTCGATGCCCGCTTCTTCGAACATCTCGCCCTCGATGGACCACCCCACCTTCTTGTAGAACCCCACCGCCGGCGCCTGGGCGTGGCAGTAAATCCGGTGCAGGCCCAGCTCGCCCACGGCCATCTTCTCGAGCTCCGCGATCATCATCCGCCCCACGCCCTCGGTCTGGCGCTGCGGATCGACGCACATCTGCGAGAGCTTGCCGACGCCCTTCTCGGGTGTGTCCGGGCGGAGGTGGACGCAGCCGACGACCTTCTCGCCGGTTGGGTGATCGAGTGTGATCACGATGTGGCGGGAGGCCTCGTCCTGATCCGGGTACATGGCGCGGAACTTCTCGATGTCGAGCCCGATGGGTTTGAGCAGGACGCGTTCGCGCAGGTCGACTTCCTTCTCGTAGAGAGGGTGCTCGGTGTCGATACGTTGGACGCGAAGTTTCACGATGGGCTCCGTTCTCCCGGCCGGAACAGGACCGGCTGTACCTCTAAGATAGTGTCCGCAAACAAATCGTCCACTTCAAGTCCGAACTTTGGCCACACGTGAGCAGAAAAAAACGCCAAACCGTCCCGCCCGCCGACGCCCTTCTCTGCGAGCGGTGCGGGTACGACCTGGCGGGGCTGACGCGGGAGATGGAATGCCCGGAGTGCGGGCTGGCGGTGGGGGAGTCGCTGCCGGAAAGGCGAGCGGGTAGGCGATCTTCACCGCTGTCCGTCATCGATAGCCATGTCATCGATTGGATTCGCGTACTTCGTCATCCCATTTCGAGTTGGGATGGCGTTCGTGTTGGCGATGAAAACCTTTGGTGGCATGGCCGAGTGTCTTTGGTCGTGGCATCACTGGTCATGTTGGTTGTGCTCATTCTCACGGCAGGCTCCGACTACATATCTGACAGATCTGCAGTCGGACTCGCGGCCCACCTAGGACTCTGGGCGCTCGGCTATTGCACGCTTGAACTTCTATGCTGGATCGAATCGCTTGGGCTTCGCTTCTTCGGTCGCCGAAATGAATGGCGTATCACGAAACAAGTCGCAGATTCCGTTGTTTCACACGCCGCGATCGCATGGATTTTCACTGCAGCGAGCATCGGATTCGCTTGGGGGCTGTTCATACGGGGGACCATCCATCAGGCCACCCTTTTCGGCCCCGTATCCACCTACCTCCTCGCCATGTTCCTCGCCTTCCTCCCGGGCCTCCTCTGGTTCGAGACCCTTGTCTGGATCGGAGTTCGGAAGCTGCGGTACGCCAACATCCCGGGGTCCGAGCGGCATCTGGCCGATTCCGCGGGGGATGCCCCCGCCTCCCCGGACGGATAAGATCCCCCGACCATGCTCACCAGACGACCCACCAGGCAGATCACCCTCGGCGACGAACGCGTCGGATACGTCAAAATCGGCGGCGGCAAGCCCGACGCCGACGGCAACCCCACGACCCCCGCGCCGGTCGTCGTCCAGACGATGACCGCGGGCTACACGCACGACGTGGAGGGGTGCGTCGCGGAGATCAACCGCATGGCCGCGGCCGGGGCGGACGTGGTCCGCGTCGCCGTTCCCGAGCGGAAGGACACGGAGGCGCTGAAGGAGATCATCCCTCAGGTCCAGGTCCCGATCGTGGCGGACGTGCACTTCCACTTCAAGCGCGCTCTCGAGGCGGTCGAATCGGGCGTGCACAAGATCCGCCTCAACCCGGGGAACATCTCGGATCGGGCGCAGGTCAACGAGGTCATCGCGGCGTGCAAGGAGAAGGGGCTCCCGATCCGTATCGGCGTGAACGAGGGCTCGATCATCGAGCGCAAGGACAAGCAGCGCCGCAAGGAGGAGCTGGGCAAGTTCTTCGCCGAGCGGAAGCAGGGGCACCTGCTCGCGATCATGATCGCGAAGCTCGAGGAATACCTGGACATCTTCCACGAGCAGGATTTTCACGACATCTGCATCAGCGCGAAGTCGATGGACGCCGCGTTCGTCACCGAGGTGTACCGCGAGGTGAGCGACCGTTTCGACTACCCGCTCCACCTGGGCGTGACGCACGCGGGGCCGAAGGAGACGGGCGCGATCCGCTCGATCGCGGCGCTGTCGGGCCTGCTCGTGCAGGGCATCGGCGACACGCTGCGCATCAGCTACGCGAACGACCCGGTGTACGAGGTCGAGGACGGGCTGGAGTTGCTCTACTCGCTCGGTTTACGAGAGCGCGTGGGGGCGGACCTGATCGCCTGCCCGACGTGCGGGCGCATCCAGGTTGATCTGTTCACCCTCGTGCAGGACGTCCGCGCGATGCTGAAGGACAAGGTGCAGATCCCGATGAAGGTCGCGGTGATGGGGTGCGTGGTGAACGGCCCGGGCGAGGCGGAGGGGGCGGACGTGGCGGTCTTCGCGGGCGACCGCAAGGGGATCATCTACGTCCAGGGCGAGCGCGTCGCGAACATCCCGGAGGAGGAGATCCTCGACCGCCTGCTCGCGGAGTGCCTGGATTTCCAGGACCGCGTCCGCGCGGGCACGGCGAAGCTGGGCGAGAAGGTCGTCGAGATCGTCCCGCCGGACCCGATCGGGGAGCTGGGCTCCGGGTTCGAGAAGATCGCGGCCGGGGACGTGGAGAAGGTCACCGGGCTGACGGTGGGCAAGAGCTGAACGACCGCCACGGGGAGGCGCAGAAATGCAACGATCCCGCACGCTCATCGCGACGCTCCTCGTCGCGCTGTTCGCGTGCACAGGCTGCATCTCCCTCTCCGGCCCGGACCCCGCCTTCGACATCTCCATCAAGGACGCCCGCGCCGAGCTGGACACCGTCCGCGCGGATCGGCTCCCGCTCGATCGCCCGCTCGTCATCTCCGGCGGCTATCTCGACCCGGGCACCGCGACGCACCGCGTGGTCCAGCGCTTCAAGGCACTCACCACGACACCAAAGCTCGTCTTTGGCACGCCGTACTTCTCCGTCTGGACGTTCGACAGCGCCCGCCGGCGGCTCGTGGAGCTGGTCGAGTCGCGGTTCCCGTCGGACGACCCGGAGTGGACGAGCGAGGTGGACATCGTCGGCATCTCCATGGGCGGCCTTGTCGCGCGGTACGCCGCGATGGACAACGGCGGGGCGCACAAACGCCTGCGCATCCGCACGCTCTTCACGCTGGGCACGCCGCACCGCGGCGCGGACCTGGCGTGGATCCCGAGCATCGACCCGAAGGCTCAGGACATGCACAAGGACTCGGCGTTCATCGCGCTGATGGAGCGCACCGCGGGCGAGATCGACTACGAGCTGCTCCCGTACGTGCGCCTTGGCGACGGGGTGGTGGGGTGCGAGAACTGCGCGCCGGAGGGGTGGCCCGTGCGGTGGATCCCGAACGAGGTGCTGGGGTTCTCGCACCTGGGCGTGCAGAACGACCCTCGGCTCACGCTCGAGATCATCCGGCGATTGCGAGGGGAAGATCCGGTATCGGGGGAGCCTTCGCCTCTGCCTGAGGAGTGATCACGACGGGTCGAGCGCCGCGCGGAGGTTGCCGCCGGCGTCCACGAGCAGGGTTTCGGCCTCATCACGCGAGACGGCACGCTCGTGCATCACGATGGCGTGCTTGCAGGAGCCCCCGGCTCTCCGGAGCAGCGCGAGCGCCTCGTCGCGGGGCAGGTCGGTGATCGTCGAGACGATGCGCGCCGCGCGGTCGGTGAGTTTGGCGTTGGTCGCGCGGAGGTCGACCATCAGGTTCTCGTAGACCTTGCCCGAGCGGACCATGAGGGTCGTGGAGATCGCGTTGAGGACGAGCTTCGTCGCGGTGCCGGCCTTCATGCGCGTCGAGCCGGTGACGACTTCAGGCCCCGTGCGCACGACGACGGTGTGCGCGATGGTCTCGCGCGGCTCGACGTCCGCGCAGGCGAGCAGGGCGGTGAGGGCGCCGCGTCCGTGGGCGAAGTCCAGGCCGCCCAGCACCCAGGGCGTCGTCCCCCCCGCGGCGATGCCCAGGACGGTGTCGTTCGGGGTGAGGTCGAGCGTGTTCAGCTCGTCGTGCGCGCCGGAGGGGTCGTCCTCTTTCGATTCGCTCGAGGTGCGCAGGGCCGCGTCGCCCCCGGCGATGAGGCCGACGACGAGGCCGGGGTCCGTCTGGAAGGTGGGGGGGCACTCCGAAGCGTCGAGGACGCCCAGGCGGCCGCTCGTGCCGGCGCCGAGGTAGATTAGGCGGCCGCCGTCGCGCATGCGTGGCTCGATCGCCTCGATGAGGGCGGCGATCTCGTCGCGGGCGAGGCCGACGGCGTCCACGGCGGCGCGGTCTTCCTGGTGCATCAGGTCGACGCACTCGCGCACGGAGAGCTCGTCGAGATCCATCGAGCGCGGGTTGCGCCGCTCGGTGAGGACGTGGGATCGATCCGGTGGGGTGGGAAGGTCCGGCATCCGGTCCAGCGTACCTACGGCAGGACCCACGCGCCGGAGACGAGCGGGGCGTCCTCGCGCCGGGTGACGCCCGGGAGTGTGATCGGGACGCGGTCGGCGCAGAGCAGGCCCAGGACGGCCATCGCCATCGATTCGCGCTGCTCGACGGGGATGCCCAGCGCAGCCGAGCGGACGGTTTCGCCCTTGATGCGCCTTTGCAGCGCGTCGACGAGTGCGGGGTTCTTCGCGCCGCCGCCGGCGAGGACGACGGTCGCTGCGTTCTCGACCTGGGCGGCGACGACTTGCGCGATCGCGTCGACGGCGCTCGCGAGGACGTCCTCCCGAGAGTGATCGAGGTCGCGGGCGCGTCGGCGCCATTCCTCGAGCTCGTCGCCGGTGCCCAGCGAACGCTCGGCGGCCGACTGGTCTTCGAGCAGGCGTGCGATCTCGCTCACGAGATCGCTCCGCGCCCAGCCGCGGAGGGCGCTCGCGCCGTCCGCGTCGAACGCGCGGTTGAGCAGCTCGCGGGCGATGCCGTCGAGGAGCTGGTTGCAGGCGCAGACGTCTCGCCCGCTCGCCTCGCCCGATTCGTCGACGAGGGTGACGTTGCAGAAGCCTCCCAGATTGACGACGGCCCAGGGCGCGCGGAGATCGGGGAAGAGGACGAGATCCGCGAGGGGCGTGATCGGGGCGCCGTGTCCGCCCAGCGCGAGGTCGATCTGGCGCAGGTCGAAGACGACGGGGACACCCGTTCGCGCGGCGATGGGGTGGGCGTTGAGCAGCTGCCAGCTCGCGGGCGGGTCGTGGAAGACGGTCTGGCCGTGCGCGCAGATCAGGGCGAGTGCGCCGGCGTCGGTCCCGGCGAGTTCGAGGGCGGTGTCGGCGTGGAGCTCGCCGAAGGCGGCGCTGAGGCGGGCGATCTCCCGGGCGTCCTTCGCGCGTCCCGAGGCCAGCTCGCGGAGGCCCGTGGCGAGCGGGCCGAGGGCGACGCTCGCGTGACGAAGGAGCTCCACGCGCATTTCGAGCCCGGAGCCGACGGCGCGGACGAGTGAGGCGTCCAGGGCGTCGAGGCTCGTGCCGGTCATCATGCCGATGGCGAGGCGTTCGGTGGTCATCGCTCGGTACTCGGACGGGGGGATGGCATGGGCCGCCCATCCTACCGCTCGGGCGTCACGTCCGGATTCGCGTCCGAGAGGGCGAATCATTGCCTCGAAATCCGCCCGAGATCATTGTTTCCGGCTCGGGAGGGCGTACACTCGCAGGGGAGGGGGGCGGTTCGTCCACACCTGAGAGAGGGATCACTCCATGCGTTTGATGTCCGCCGTTCTCGGCACCGCATTGGTCGCCGCCTCCGCGTTCGCGGGCGGCGCGACGTTCGTCTCGTTCCCCGCGTCCAAGGACGCCACGCTCTACGAGAGCGGCGTCGGCATCCTGGCGAACGGCTCGGGGCAGCACACGTTCTCCGGCCTCTCGCTCCAGGGCGACACGGTCAACGCGCGACGGATGGTCATGGAATTCGACGTCGACGGGAACATCCCGGCGGGTTCGATCATCACGAGCGTGCAGGTCCGCGTGTTCATCGACCGCGCGAACAGTTCCGGGCCCTTCGACTTCGGGCTGCACGAGGTGCTCGCGGAGTGGGGCGAGGGGCCGTCGGACGCCGCGGCGAACGAGGGCTCGGGCACGCTCGCGCAGGCGGGCGACGCGACCTGGATCCACACGTTCTCGCCCGGGATGCTCTGGGCGAACCCGGGGGGCGACTTCGATCCGATCGCGAGCGTCACGACCGAGCTCGCGGACGAGGGGCTGTACCAGTTCCCCTCGACGCCCGATCTCGTCGCGGACGTGCAGGGCTGGCTCGACGACCCGTCGTCGAACCACGGCTGGATGATCCTCGGGCCCGAGATCAAGGACGGGATCGCCACGGTGAAGCGGTTCACCTCGGTGCAGAACGCCGAGACGGCGCTGCACCCGATGCTCCTCGTGACGTACGAGGAGGGCCAGGCGGTGTGCCTGGGTGATTGCCAGAACACCGGTGTCGTGAACTTTGAAGACATTGTGCAGATGCTTTTCGAGTTCGGCGATCCGACGGCGCCCTCTGAGTGCGACGCGGACGAATCCGGGGAGGTCGACTTCAACGACCTCGTGACGGCGCTGTTCCTGTTCGGCCCCTGCCCGTAAATCGGGTTCAGCCGGGATCCCGCTCGGCCCACGCGCGACGGACCGCCTCGCGGCAGACGCCCGCGTCGATGCCGCGTCGCGCGAGGTAGGACGTGACGCGCCGCACGACGACGGCCTTCTCGAGCGACGGGGGCAGGGTGCGCATCTTCACGCGGGCGGCGTCGGTGGCGCGGGCGAGGGGGTCCTCGCGCTCGAGCGCCTCGTTGGCGACGCGTTCGGCCATCTCTCTTTCAACACCCCGGGCGCGGAGGCGCGAGACGAGGAGGCGCTTGCCCGCGGGCCCTTTTCGGAGGATCGCCCGGACGACCGAGTCCGCGACCGCGCGGTCGTCGAGGTAGCCGAGGCGGACGAGCTCGTCCGCGGCGTGCGTCGACGCCTCTTTCGTGAACCCCTGTTTGGTGAGCCGCTCGATGAGTCGCGAGCGCGTGCATGAGGACCGCGTGAGTGACGTGACGGCGCGCTTGAGCGCGAGCTCCGCGTCCGCGATGGGTTCGGCGCGTCCGGTCACGCCTCGTGCCGCTCCAGGAGGCTCAGGAACTGGCCGATCTCGCTCGTCGCCTTGGCGTTCGAGTCGGCGCGGGCCCGCTCGAGCCCGCTGCGGAGCGTGTCGACGGCCTCGTCGTAGCGTTCGACCTTCTCGAGGAGCCGGGCCTTGTGGAAGTACGCGTAGTGGTAGCCGGGGTCGAGGGCGAGGCAGGCGTCGTACATGGCGAGGGACTCGTCGTTCTCGCCCTCGTTCGCGAGCTCCTGGGCGATCATGTACGGGAGGTCCGGGTCGCTCGGGTCGGCCTTGATGAGCGTGCGGAGTCTGTCGAGCCGTTCGGTCGTCATCGTTTCGTCCTCGCCCCGCCGGAGGCTTTCTTCCTGGAAACTTTCTTCTTCGCCTTCTTCCCGGCCTTCTTCTTTGTTGCCCCGCGTGCGCTCGGCCTGGCGTTGGCGCAGAATTTCTGGCAGATCTCGTCGTCCGCGCAGAGCTCGCCGCGCGCCTTGCAGACGGCGCGGCCGTGCTCGATGAGCAGGTGGCTCAGGAGCGTCCAGGACTCGCGCGGAAACGTCGCCATGAGGTGGCGCTCGACCATCGGGAGGGTGACGCCCTCCGGCGCGAGGCCGAAGCGGCGCGAGAGGCGGTCGACGTGCGTGTCGACCACGACGCCCATGTTGATCCCGAAGGCGTTGCCGAGCACGACGTTCGCCGTTTTGCGCGCCACGCCGCGGAGGGTGAGCAGGTCCTCCATGGTGTCCGGGACCTCGCCGCCGTAGTCCTCGACGACGGCCGTCATCGCGGCGTGGATCGCCTTGGACTTGTTGCGGTACAGGCCGATGGTCTTGACGTAGGGCTCGATTACTTCCGGCGATGACTCCGCGTAGTCCCGGGGGGATTTGAATGCTTTAAAGAGCGCGGGCGTGGCCTTGTTGACGCCGACGTCGGTGGACTGGGCGCTGAGGATCGTCGCGATGAGCAGCTCGTGCGGATTGGTGTAGTGCAGGGCGCACTTCGCGTCCGGGTAACGCTCGCGGAGGGCGTCGTAGATCTTGGTCGCGCGCGTCTTCTTCGAGCCGTGGACGGTCGGGAGCTCGAAGGGGATGTCGCGCAGGCCCTTTGGATTGCCGGGTGTGCGGGTGTCGGTCATTCGTCCCCCTGCTGCGCGGACGCGGATCGGCGCGGCGCGAGCGCCCAGCCGGTGATCGCCAGCGCGAGCAGCGCCGACTCGGCCTTGAGCACGTTGCTCGCCACGGGGTGCGCCGCGTCGAACGCGGCTTTGTATTCGAGCGCCTCGGCGCGGTCCCCGGCCTCGGCGGCGGACCAGTACGCCTCGACGTCCTTCTGCATCTGCGGCGATCGAACAAGCGCGTGGTGGGCGCCGAACGCCGTCGCGCCGGCGAGGGCCAGGGCCCAGACGGTGCGGCCCGCGCGGCCCGCCCGGGCCGTGATCGTGAGGGCGCACAACGCGAGGGACACGCTCGCGAGCACGAGCGTGGCGATGTCCGTCACCCGGAACGCCGGCATCATCGCGTGGCCGGCGGTGATCGACCAGAAATCCTCCTCGTGCCCGGCGAATCGGGGCAGTTGCGGAGAAAGTTCTTTCATCTCGATGAAGCTGATCGCGGCGTTCACGCCCGTCATCAGGAGCATGCCGAGCCACAGGGCCATCGCGGCGCCGGCGAGGGCGTGCAGGCGTTCGTGGGTCGACGATCGGCCGTGGTTCGTCACGTTCTGATCCTAGCCGGTGGGGCGTGGTGCGTGTAGGCTCGTGCGCGTATGGAAGGTACCGCGTTTCCCATTCCAGAACTGTCGGTCTCGTTGTCGGGAGTTCCCTCGGAGCGCTTGCCGCGCGAGCGGCTGACCGAGGGTGTCGCCTGGGTGGCGTCGCTCGGGGTGCGCGCCGTGCACCTCGACGCGACTGCGCCCGGCGTGCGCCCGCGCGAGCTGGAACGCTCGGCACGGCGCGAGATCGCGTCGATGCTGCGCCGCGAGAGCGTCCGGTTCACGGGCGTGGACCTTTGGATCCCGCCGGAGCATTTCGTCGTTTCGGCGCACGCCGACCGCGCGATCCACGCGGCGGAGGAAGCGATCCGCTTCACGGGCGAGGTCGCGGCGCTTGCGGGAGCGGGTGAGGGGGCGGTGGTGTCCCTCCGCCTGCCCCCTGGGGACGGGGAGATCGCGGGGATGCTCGGCGATGCCGCGGCCGACGCGGGGGTGCGCCTGGCGGACCACGCCTGGCCGCCTGGCGAGGGTGTGTCGCACGACCATGTGGGCGTGGGGATTGATCCGGCGGCGATCTCGGCGGTCGGCGGCGGGCGGTCGGCGTCGCGCGAACTCGCGGCGCACGCTTCGCGCGTCGCCAGCGTCCGGCTGAGCGACTGGGACGGCCACCGGCGCGTGCCCGCGGGGGAGGGGTCGCTCAGCGTGTTCGAGTACGTGGCCTCCGCGGTGACGTGCGGGATCTCGTCGCCGCTCGTCGTGGACCTGCGGGAGCTGGATCGCCCCTTCGATGCGGCACCGCGTATCATCGAGGCAGTCCGGCGGGGCGCTCCCGCCTGAGCAACCTAGATCGCAGGAATCCATGGCCAGCAAGCGTGATCTTTACGACGTACTCGGGGTGTCTCGCGACGCGAGCGCGGACGAGATCAAGCGCGCCTACCGCAAGCTGGCGCGCGAGCTGCATCCGGACATGAACAAGGCGGCGGACGCGAGCGAGAAGTTCAACGAGGTCCAGGAGGCGTACGACACGCTCTCCGATGAGCAGAAAAAGGCGCAGTACGACCGTTTCGGGCACACAGGGGTGGGGGGCTCGCCCTTCGGCGGGGGCGGTCCGGGAGGTCCGGGGGGTGGGACGTACACGTGGTCCAACGTCGCCGGGGGCGGCGGCGGCGGAGGATTCTCGGATTTCGACGTCGGCTCGATTTTCGAGCAGGTCTTCGGCGGGCAGGCGAGCGGCTTCGGCGCCCGGGCGACCGCCGGCCGCCAGCACGCGCGGGCTCGGTCACGCCCGCGGAAGGGTGAGGACATCAACGCCGATCTCGATATCGGGTTCATGGACGCGGTGAAGGGCGCGACGCCGAGTGTCCGCATCAAGCGGGGCGGGCAGACGCAGACGATCGAGGTGACCGTGCCCGCCGGAATCGAGGAGGGCGCCAAGCTCCGCCTGCGGGGCAAGGGGCACCCCAGCGCGTCGGGCGAGCAACCCGGGGACCTGATCTTCACCGTGAAGATCGGCAAGCACCCGCTGTTCCGGCGCGACGGGCTGGACGTGCTGCTCGACCTGCCGCTCACGATCGCCGAAGCGGCGCTGGGGGCTGAGATCTCGGTCCCGACGCCGCACGCGAGGGTGGAGCTGACGATCCCCGCTGGCTCGGCGAGCGGGCAGCGGCTCCGCGTGAAGGGTCACGGGATCAAGGCGAAGGAGCGGTCCGGCGATTTCTTTGCCGTGCTCAAGGTCGTCGCGCCGAAGGAACTCTCCGAGGGCGACCGCGCCGCGCTGGAGGCGATGCGCGAGAGGCTGCCGAACCCGAGGACCGGGCGGGGCTGGGAGTAACGCTTCGTGGGCATCAAACCGAGCACCGTCCACCTGCCGATCCTTCGCCGCCTGATCACGCACCCGCTGCGCACGGTGTTCGTGGACGACAAGCGGGCGTGGCGGGGCGCGGACATCCTGCTCGTCGCGATGCACCTCGCGGACTACCTCGAGGCGAACTGCGAGAGCCGGACGGTGGGGCTCCTGCTGCCGACGTCCGGCGCGTTCGCGCCGGCGGCGCTGGCGGGGTGGATGACGGGGCGCGTGGTCGTGCCGCTGAACTACCTGCTGAAGCGGCCCGAGCTCGAGCACGTGATCCGCGACTGCGACACGGACACGGTGATCTCCGTCGGCCCGATGCTGGATCACCTGGGCTTTGCGCCGGACGTGAAGAACGTCGTGCTGGGCGATCAGCTGGATTACAAAAAAGCGCCGACGCCGCGCTGGCCGGCGGGCGCGACGCCGGACGACCTCGCGGTGATCCTCTACACCTCCGGCACGAGCGGGACGCCCAAGGGCGTGATGCTCACGCACCGCAACCTGAGCTCGAACGTCCGCCAGGCGCTGCGTCACGCGCAGTTCACGAAGGAGGACACGCTCGTCGGCGTGCTCCCGCAGTTCCACTCCTTCGGTCTCACGGTGCTCACGCTCCTGCCGCTCATGTGCGGGGCGCGGACGGTCTTCAGCGCCCGCTTCGTGCCCAACCGCATCGTGAAGACGATCCGCGATCACAACGCGACGGCGTTCGTCGGGATCTCCTCGATGTTCGGCGCGCTGCTCCAGGTCAAGGGCGCGACGGCCGAGGACTTCCGCACGATCCGCTTCGCCGTGGCGGGGGGCGAGCCGCTCTCGCGGGAGGTGGGGCGGCGGTTCGAGGAGCGGTTCGGCATCCGCGTCAACGAGGGGTACGGCCTCACGGAGACGTCGCCGGTGACGAACATGCTCATGCCGGGCGAGGACGCGCCGCACTCGGTGGGGCGGCCCGTGCCCTGCCTGGACCAGCGGATCGTGAGCCCGGACACCGGCGCGGTCCTCTCGGTCGGCGAGGAGGGGGAGATTCGGATGCGCGGGCCGAACGTGATGCGCGGGTACTACAAGCTCGACGAGCAGACGCGTGACGCGTTCGACGAGCACGGCTACTTCCGCACGGGCGACATCGGCAAGAAGGACGAGCGCGGGTTCCTCTGGATCACCGGTCGGCTCAAGGAGATGATCATCGTGGGCGGGGAGAACGTCTTCCCGCGCGAGATCGAGGACGCGCTAGATTCGCACCCGGACGTCGAGGCGAGCGCCGTCGTCGGCATCCGGGATGATGTTCGCGGTGAGATCCCGTGGGCGGCGGTGACGCTCGCGGAGGGCGCGGCGTTCGACGCGCAGGCGCTCAAGGACTGGTGCAAGGACCGGATCGCGCCGTACAAGATCCCGCGCGAGATCCGGGCGTTCCCGGCCCTGCCCCGGACGGGCACGGGCAAGATCTCGAGGCGGGACGTCGGGGCGTACCTGAGCGGGGGCATGTCCGACGAGGACTTCGCCCGGGCCTGCGGGCAGGCGTAGAGAAAATTTCTTTCCGAGCCTCGAACCCGAGCGTTCCGGGGGGCGACGGGGTGGTGTGAACGATGGAACGCACACCCGAACAGATCGAGACAGAACTGCTCGTGATCCGGGCGCAGCTGGGGGAGGGCGACGCGCTCCGGGAGCTTTTTTCCAGGTGGAACGGGCGCCTTCTGGCGCACGCGAGCCGGGTTCTCGGGCCGCACGCGTCGCTGGACGCGTCCGACGCGGCGCAGGAGGCGTGGCTCGCGATCGCGCGGCGGATCACGAAGCTCTCGGACCCGGCGCTGTTCGCGCCGTGGGCGCACCGGATCGTGACGTTCAAGTGCGCGGACCTCTCGCGGAAAGCGGTGCGCGAGCGACGCACTCGCGAGAGCAAGCCGCCGATCGATGCCGGGACACCGAGCGAGGAAACCGACGACCTGCGGGCCGCGATTTCACGGCTCAGCCTCGAGCACCGCACGCTCCTCTCGATGCGCTACGGCAGCGAGCTGAGCGTCGCGCAGATCGCGGTGGCGGTGGGGGTCCCGGAGGGCACGGTGAAATCCCGCCTGCACGCGGCGCGTGAGGCGATCAGAACGCACATGGAACACGAAACACAAAGGAGGTCACCATGACCGGCCGCGACAACGACGACGCCTTCCTCGGGAAGGCCATGCAAGCCGAACGCTTCGAGGCGTTCGAGGAAGAGAACGTCTTCAAGCAGATGCTGGGGACCGTGCGCGGGCGGAACGCGTGGATGGGCGTCCTGAGCTTCATCTACACGCTCGTCTTCGCCGTCATCATGTTCTACTCGCTCTACCGCTTCTTTACGAGCGAGGAGACGAGGGACGTCGCGTTCTGGGGCGTGATCGCCGTGCTCATGGCGGTCGCGGTGTCGCAGCTCAAGATGTGGCTCTTCATGCGCATGGATCGCAACACGGTCCTGCGTGAGCTCAAGCGGGTGGAGCTGCAGATCGCGAGGCTTACGGAGAAGTCCGGGGGCTGAGACTCACGCGTCGAAGCGCAGGGCGCTCGCGAGGGCGGACGCGTCCCGCGCGAGCGCGGCGCCTGGGCGCGTCGGCGCGTACCGGACGCTGGGCGGCCGGTCGGTCGTGACCGTCCGCTCGACGAGGCCCGCCCCCTCGAGCTCGGTCAGCGTCATCGTCAGCGCGCGGGGGGTGAGCCCGGGGAGGGCGGCGAGGGTCTCGTTGAAACGATCGATCCCCTCGCCCAGAGCCCAGAGGATCGGGAGCGACCATTTCTTCCCGGCGGCGTCCCGCACGCCGAGTTTCTCGACGCGTGCCCACACCGCTCCGCACGCCGGGCCGACGCCCTCGCCGAAGGGCGTGAGCAGGTACTCGGGGCGCATCGGGTGGCCGTAGCCGGGGTTGCGCATCACGAAATCGAGGCCGGTGAGAGCGTCGATGGTCCGCGTGAGGGTGGCGCGGGGGAGCTCGAGGGCGTGCAGCAGCGTCACCAGCTTCCCGCCTCGGAGGCGGTGGAGCGTCGCGAGGACGGGGATCGCCCAGCGGTGGTGGCAGAGGTCGATGAGCCCGAGCGGCGGCTCGAGTTCCTCGGCCGTGATTTCTTGGGAGATCACCATTGACAATATTCTATATCTGATATACTTTTGAGTCAATCAGAACCCGCGCACACGCGGAGAAAGGCCGGAGATCATGGCGGACACCTTGGGCTACGACGGCGGGCTGACGTGCTCGATGGGCGTGACGGATCTTGAGAAGGCGATCGAGTGGTACAGCACGCACCTGGGCTTCGAGCTCGAGTACAAGATGGACGAGATGGGCTGGTGCGAGATGACGACGCCCGTCAAGGGCGTGAAGGTCGGCCTGTCTCAGGTCGAGAAGGTGAGCCCCGAGGGCGGGGCGACCCTCACGTTCGGCGTGAAGGACATCGACGCGGCCCGGAAGAAGCTCGAGGGCGCGAAGACGCGGTTCGACGGCGAGACGATGGTGATCCCGGACATGGTGAGCCTGGCGACGTTCTTCGACCCGGACGGCAACAAGCTCATGTTGTACGAGGTGTCCGCCCGGTTCCAGCCCGGTTCGTGAACCGGCTTCTGGTGTAGATCGCGGTCGCGGCGATCGTCGCGCCGATCGTGTTGAAGATCAGGTCGAGGCCGGTGTTGACGTAGCCGCCGACGTTCGTCTCGGCGATGCGCGTCGCGATGAACTCGACGACCTCGTTCAGGGCGCCGAAGCCGACGCCCGCGCAGACCATCAGTGTCATGAGGCCGAGCGTCGGGCGGATCGGCGCGTCGCCGGTCCGCCCCCTCATGGCGCCGAGGAAGGCCTGCCAGCACGCCCAGGTGGTGACACCGAAGCCGAAGGCGTGGGTGAGCTGGTCGTACTTGAGGTAGCCGCCCGTGCCGTCGCCCGGCGTGCTGCCGTCGGGGCCGGGGACGATCCACCAGGAGTAGAGCACGCGGATGTCGCCGTCGATGGGCCAGCTCGCGGGCACGGGCACGAGCCCGCCCGCCATGTGGAGCAGCCCCCACACGGAGAGGCACCAGAGCAGCCCCGCGCTGAACACGACGCGCGTGTGCACGAACGCGACGAACCCGATGAGCGCGAGCATGACCGCGATGTAGAAGATGAACTCCGCGTTGCCGGACGCGAACGCGCCGGCGATCGCGGCGAGCATGTACACGCTCGTGAACACCGCGAGCGCGGCGATCGTCCGGCGCGACGGCGCGTGCGCGGCGCCCGCGGGGGTCACGGCGCGGTCCCCGCGGGGCTCCGCTCGCGGAGAGACGGGGCCGGGATGCCGAAGAAGCGCTCGGTGTTCGCGTCGATGATGGCGTGGAACTCGTCCCACGGCGTCCCGCGCAGGTCGGCGAGGAACTCGGCGATGACGCGCGAGTACTTCGGCGCGTTGGGCTTCACGCCGCGGTGGGGGTGGGGCGTGAGGAACGGCGCGTCGGTCTCGACCATGAGGCGGTCGTTCGGCACGATGCTCGCGGCGGCCCGGACGTCCTTCGCGTTCTTGTACGTCACGACGCCCGTGAAGCTGACGGAGGCGCCGAAGTCGAGGAGGAGTTTCATCTCGCGCGGCCCGCCCGTGAAGCAGTGAAAAACGAAGCGCGAGGGGTCGAGCGGCGTCTGCTTGAGGATCGGGATCAGCTCGTCGAACGCCTCGCGGCAGTGCAGCACGATGGGCAGGTCGAGGTTCGCGGGGTCGTCGGCTCGGCAGCGGAGGATGAACTCGAGTTGCTCCTCGAGGACCGAGTGCTGGATGCCCTTGGCGGGCTCGGCGTAGTGGTTGTCGAGACCCAGCTCGCCCCACGCGACGCACTCCGGGCGGGCGGCGACGGCTCGGAGCACGTCCCAGTCGTGCGGTCCCCGGTCGGCGTAGAGGGGGTGGACGCCGGCGGTGCACCAGACGTTCTCGTGCGCCTCGGCGATGCGGAGGCCGTCCTCGCATGTCTGGGAGGTCGTCGAGATGGTGATCATCCCGCAGACGCCGGCGGCGCGGGCCTCTTCAACCGTGCGGGCGATCTCGCCTTTGTAGTCCGGGAAGTCCAGGTGGCAGTGGGTGTCGATCATCGCAACACAAGCGTAGCACGCCGGTACGCCCGGGCGTGGCCGTTCGCCTATTCTGCCGGTGAACGCCCGCACCCCGACAGACCCGGAGGCCCGGTCCATGCGACGCCATCTCGTCCGTTTCCTGCTCTGTGCCGCGCTGCTCACGACGCTCGCCGCGCCCCGCGCGCTCGCGCAGATCGCCGCGCCGCCCGACTTCGAGCGGTGGTACGCCGTGGAGCTGCGGGGCGAGAAGGCGGGTCACGCGATGTCGAGCCAGGTGACGAACGAGGACGGCACCATCACGACGACGACGCTGACGAAGTTCTCGATCGCCCGCGGTGGCGATCCGATCGAGATGACGATGCGCGAGGTCTTCGTGGAGGACGGCTCCGGCGAGCCCGTGAGCGCCGAATTCGAGCAGAACCTCTCGACGGGCACGAGCGTGATCTCGAAATACACGTGGAAGGACGGCGAGATCTTCAAGGAGGTCGCGCACGCCGGGGAGCCGACGCGGGGCCGCATCCCGGCGATCGAGATGGCGTACCTCACGCCTGTGGAGATCCGCGGGCACCTCGTCTCGCAGATCGACGCCGGGAAGACGGAGATCAAGTTCGTCTCGCTCGACCTGATGTCCGGGCTCAAGCCGGTGCAGACGGTCGTCACGATCGAGGGGCCGGCGACGGTCGACGCGTACGGGCGCGAGGCGGTCGCGCTGAAGACCTCGGCGGTTTCGAGCAACATGCCGGGCATCCGCGTGACGCGACTGCTCGACGAGCAGGGCCTCGCGCTGTACGAGGAGCTCAAAATGGGCGCGATCCCCATGCGGATGGTCGCGGCCACGAAAGAAGAAGCGCTCAAGGCGTCCGACGGCGCCGACCCGGAGCTGTTCACGCCGACGCTCGTGAAGGTCGACCCGCCGATCGAGTCGCCGCGGACGATCACCGGCGCGATCTACCTGCTCGACGTGAGCGAGGGGACGCTCCCGGACATGGTCGACGGCGGGGCGTTCGCCTTCGAGCGTCTGAGCCCGACCTCGGGCCGCGTGACGGTGGACCTGGACGCGCCGCGGCGGGCGGCGAACGAGGACGCCTCGGCCCCGCGATTCACCCGCGCGACGACGTACGCGAACTCGGAGGACGTCCGCCTGATCCGCATGGCGGAGGCCGCGCTGAAGGACGCCCCGGCCGACCGCACGGCCCGCGCGGAGCAGCTCCGCGAGTACGTCTACAAGTTCGTCGAGAGCAAGAACCTGGGGACGGGGTTCGCGACGGCCTCCGAGGTGTGCCGAACGGCGGAGGGCGACTGCACGGAGCACGCGGTGCTCCTCGCGGCGTTGCTGCGCGTGGAGCGGATCCCGTCGCGCGTCGTCTCCGGTCTGATCTACGCCGACGCGTTCGCCGGCCAGGAGAGCGTCTTCGGCTACCACATGTGGACGCAGGCGCTGCTCATCGTCGACGGCAAGCCGACGTGGATCGACCT